ATTCTGAAAAAATATCTCAGAGATCCTTAACAAAACTGGAGAGATCTGCAAGAATCAGTTTGCTCGTACAAACTCTGAAGCGGAGACATGTATGTTTAGGACTCACATTCTATTTCCGATTCCGAGCAAGCCACTTACTTGCAAGCATTGATAAAGTGCAGTGATTTCGCAACCTGGCTATCTGTCCACAACTTTTCAGACAAGCACACTTTAGCTTAACTAGACTTGCATATACGAAATTGTCTTCTCGGGTATAAGTATCGTGATGTATCCTTCACGTTAAAGTAATAGTAATTCCTTCGTAAGTGTTAGTTCAGTTTGATGTGCTAATTGAGAATGCCTTCGCAAGTGGGCACAGATGTTTCTACACTTATTTCCTACACTTATAGTCCAACACCTTCCCCTACTCGCCAGATTTTCTAGCGGAGCTTATATTTATAGAAAAATATGTGAGTATTTCACAGTCTCGAGTTGACGTAGTTCTGCAGTTCAGCCTGCAGCCAACAAGAGATATTGCGAGCAGAACGCTTATGTTTGCTTACAATACAGAAGTCTGTCTGAGTGCTAAGAGCACAGCTGGAAAGCAACTGAACTTTCTGAAAGGAATTAAGCAACTTCTTCAATTTCGGGCAGAAGCACTTTGGTGTCACTACCTCTCCCCCACTACTGCTTAAATGAGATGGCAGAGAGCTGTCTAGACAGACGGATGAATCAACCAATCAGAAATGAGGGACAGCTCTGCTGGCGTGCTGGCATGCTGCCAAGTCCCTCACTCTCTTCTCCTTCACTTCACTCATTGCTTTCAGCTGTGCTTTTCTGAATCTCAGCTAGCGGTTGCGAAATGAGTTTCTTGACATTGCATTGCTTGCTAAATTTGGCTTCTTGCGAAGAGTGTCGGAAAACAAGCCTCCCATTTGTAATCGGATCTGCTAGTGTGTGTTTATAATTATTTACTTTAGACAGATTAGTTACAGTCATACTAATTATGTTTATAGTAGCTGTTATATTATTATCAGATAATTGCCCGTACTTACAACTGCATGTCATAAGTATAGCCCAATTGGTTCTGAGTTTTTACACGTTGTGGATTATCTTGACATGGTATATTGCTGCTACATGAAGTTTTCATTATTCTATGAATTTTTAATTGCGAAGCTGGTATTTCATGTCTGCAAATTCGCTAAATGAATTTAAAATTTGTAGTGATTTGAAATGAAGATAGTTGTTCATTTATTATTCACTACAGGGACCAGTAATCGACATCCATCCGAAGATGAAGATTGGCTGGTTTTCATGAACGAGGTAGTAGCGATATCCGTGGCGTTTGTGAGTTAAGCAGCACTGTGAGTTAAGCAGCAGAAACCGGAGCTCCAGCAGAAACAGAGCGGAGCGAAAGGGAGTTTGGTGAGTAATCTTTGAAAGCTCTGGAAAGATTGCTGTGTTTCACTTAACTCGATATTAATGTCATTAAGGTTTAATTCTTCTTTTTCAGGTTGAAAAGCACCACGCAACGCCTAAAGGTTTTGAAGCACAGTCTTCAGCTCCCTGGAAAAAGAATGTATTGAGGAAGCGAGGGCCGAGAAAGAGAGCGATCTCTGTTATTGACCAGCAGCAGAGATTGCTGGCTCTTGGGGAGAAAGCTACAAAGCAAGAGCCAGTTCCTGTGCTGGT